AAGAGGGGACACATGTTTGATGTAGAAGAGACATGAAGAAGAGGGGACACATGTTGATGTAGAAGAGACTGAAGAAGAGGGGGACACATGTTGATGTAGAAGAGACATGAAGAAGAGGGGACACATGTTGATGTAGAAGAGACATGAAGAAGAGGGGGGACATGTTGATGTAGAAGAGACATGAAGAAGAGGGGACACATGTTGATGTAGAAGAGACATGAAGAAGAGGGGACACATGTTGATGTAGAAGAGACATGAAGAAGAGGGGACACATGTTGATGTAGAAGAGACCCAAAGAAGAGGGGACACATGTTGATGTAGAAGAGACATGAAGAAGAGGGGACACATGCTGATGTAGAAGAGACACGAAGAAGAGGGGACACATGTTGATGTAGAAGAGACACGAAGAAGAGGGGACACATGTTGATGTAGAAGAGACACGAAGAAGAGGGGACACATGTTGATGTAGAAGAGACATGGAGAAGAGGGGACACATGTTGATGAAGAAGATACATGAAGAAGAGGGGACACATGTTGATGTAGAAGAGACATGAAGAAGAGGGGACACATGTTGATGTAGAAGAGACACAAAGAAGAGGGGACACATGTTGATGTAGAAGAGACACGGAGAAGAGGGGACACATGTTGATGTAGAAGAGACACGGAGAAGAGGGGACACCATGTTGATGAAGAAGAGACACGAAAGGGAAGAAGAGGGGACACATGTTTGATGTAGAAGAGACACGAAGAAGAGGGGACACATGTTGATGTAGAAGAGACACGAAGAAGAGGGGACACATGTTGATGTAGAAGAGACACGAAGAAGAGAGGACACATGTTGATGTAGAAGAGACATGAAGAAGAGGGGACACATGTTGATGTAGAAGAGACATGAAGAAGAGAGGACACATGCTGATGTAGAAGAGACATGGAGAAGAGGGGACACATGTTGATGTAGAAGAGACATGAAGAAGAGAGGACACATGCTGATGTAGAAGAGACATGAAGAAGAGGGGACACATGTTGATGTAGAAGAGACATGGAGAAGAGAGGACACATGCTGATGTAGAAGAGACATGGAGAAGAGAGGACACATGTTGATGAAGAAGAGACATGAAGAAGAGGGGACACATGTTGATGTAGAAGAGACATGGAGAAGAGGGGACACATGTTGATGTAGAAGAGACATGAAGAAGACGGGGACACATGTTGATGTAGAAGAGACATGAAGAAGAGGGGACACGTGTTGATGAAGAAGAGACATGAAGAAGAGGGGACACATGTTGATGTAGAAGAGACATGAAGAAGAGGGGACACATGCTGATGTAGAAGAGACATGAAGAAGAGGGGACACATGTTGATGTAGAAGAGACATGAAGAAGAGGGGACACATGTTGATGTAGAAGAGACATGGAGAAGAGAGGACACATGTTGATGTAGAAGAGACATGGAGAAGAGGGGACACATGTTGATGAAGAAGATACATGAAGAAGAGGGGACACATGTTGATGTAGAAGAGACATGAAGAAGAGGGGACACATGGTGATGTAGAAGAGGACATGAAGAAGAGGGGACACATGTTGATGTAGAAGAGACATGGAGAAGAGGGGACACATGTTGATGTAGAAGAGACATGAAGAAGAGGGGACACATGTTGATGTAGAAGATACATGAATAAGAGGGGACACATGTTGATGTAGAAGAGACATGAAGAAGAGGGGACACATGTTGATGTAGAAGAGACACGAAGAAGAGGGGACACATGGTGATGTAGAAGAGACATGAAGAAGAGGGGACACATGTTGATGAAGAAGAGACATGAGAAGAGGGGACACAGGTTGATGTAGAAGAGACATGAAGAAGAAGGGACACATGTTGATGTAGAAGAGACATGAATGAAGAGGGGGACACATGTTGATGTAGAAGAGACATGGAGAAGAGGGGACACATGTTTATGTAGAAGAGACATGAAGAGAGGGGACACATGTTGATGAAGAAGATACATGAGAAGAGGGGACACATGTTGATGTAGAAGAGAGACATGAAGAAGAGGGGACACATGTTGATGAAGAAGAGACATGAAGAAGAGGGGACACATGTTGATGTAGAAGAGACATGAAGAAGAGGGGACACATGTTGATGTAGAAGAGACATGGAGAAGAGGGGACACATGTTGATTGTAGAAGAGACATGAAGAAGAGGGGGGACACATGTTGATGTAGAAGAGACACGAAGAAGAGGGGACACATGTTGATGTAGAAGAGACATGAAGAAGAGGGGACACATGTTGATGAAGAAGTACATGAAGAAGAGGGGACACATGTTGATGTAGAAGAGACATGAAGAAGAGGGGACACCATGTTGATGTAGAGGAGACATGAAGAAGAGGGGACACATGTTGATGTAGAAGAGACACGAGAAGAGGGGACAATGTTGGTGTAGAAGAGACATGAAGAAGAGGGGACACACTGTTGGTGTAGAAGAGACACTGAAGAAGAGAGGACACATGTTGATGTAGAAGAGACACGAAGAGAAGAGGGGACCACATGTTGGTGTTGTAGAAGAGACAAGAAGAAGAGGGGGACACATGTTGGTGTAGAAGAAGACACGAAGAAGAGAGGACACATGTTGGTGTAGAAGAGACACGAAGAGATGAGGACACATGTTGGTGTAGAAGAGACACGAAGAAGAGAGGACACATGTTGTGTAGAAGAGACACGAAGAAGATGAGGACCACATGTTGGTGTATGAAGAGACACGAGAAGAAGAGAGGACACATGTTGGTGTAGAAGAGACACGGAGAAGAGAGGACACATGTTGGTAAGAGACATGAAGAAGAGAGGACACATGTTGGTGTAGAAGAGACACGAAGAAGAGAGGACACATGTTGGTGTAGAAGAGACACGAAGAAGAGGGGACAACATGTTGATGAAGAAGAGACACGAGAAGAAGAGAGGACACATGTTGGTTAGAAGAGACATGAAGAAGAGAGGACACATTGGTGTAGAAGAGACACGAAGAAGAGAGGACACATGTTGGTGTAGAAGAGACACGAAGAAGAGAGGACACATGTTGATGTAGAAGAGACACGGAGAAGAGAGGACACATGTTGGTGTAGAAGAGACACGGAGAAGAGAGGACACATGTTGGTAGAAGAGACATGAAGAAGAGAGGACACATGTTGGTGTAGAAGAGACACGAAGAAGAGAGGACACATGTTGGTGTAGAAGAGACACGAAGAAGAGAGGACACATGTTGATGTAGAAGAGACACGAAGAAGAGGAGACACATGTTGATGAAGAAGAGACATGAAGAAGAGAGGACACATGTTGGTGTAGAAGAGACATGAAGAAGAGAGGACACATGTTGGTGTAGAAGAGACACGAAGAAGAGAGGACACATGTTGGTGTAGAAGAGACACGAAGAAGAGAGGACACATGTTGGTGTAGAAGAGACACGAAGAAGAGAGGACACATGTTGGTGTAGAAGAGACATGAAGAAGAGAGGACACATGTTGGTGTAGAAGAGACATGAAGAAGAGAGGACACATGTTGGTGTAGAAGAGACATGAAGAAGAGAGGACACATGTTGGTAGAAGAGACATGAAGAAGAGAGGACACATGTTGGTGTAGAAGAGACATGAAGAAGAGAGGACACATGTTGGTGTAGAAGAGACACGAAGAAGAGAGGACACATGTTGGTGTAGAAGAGACACGAAGAAGAGAGGACACATGTTGGTGTAGAAGAGACACGAAGAAGAGAGGACACATGTTGGTGTAGAAGAGACACGGAGAAGAGAGGACACATGTTGTAGAAGAGACATGAAGAAGAGAGGACACATGTTGGTGTAGAAGAGACACGAAGAAGAGAGGACACATGTTGGTGTAGAAGAGACACGAAGAAGAGAGGACACATGTTGATGTAGAAGAGACACGAAGAAGAGGGGACACATGTTGGTGTAGAAGAGACATGAAGAAGAGGGGACACATGTTGGTGTAGAAGAGACACGAAGAAGAGAGGACACATTTTGGTGTAGAAGAGACACGAAGAAGAGAGGACACATGTTGGTGTAGAAGAGACACGGAGAAGAGAGGACACATGTTGGTGTAGAAGAGACACGAAGAGAGAGGACACAATGTGGTGTAGAAGAGACACGAGAGAAGAGAGGACACATGTTGGTTGTAGAAGAGACACGGAGAAGAGAGGACACATGTTGGTGTAGAAGAGACACGGAGAAGAGAGGACACATGTTGGTGTAGAAGAGACACGGAAGAAGAGAGGACACATGTTGATAGAAGAGACATGTGTCCCCTCTGTGGAAAGAGAGAGTCTCTTCACACATTTCCATATGTAATAAAGCATTGATGATTGTATTCAGTTTCACACATATGAGCCAGCAGGCATGTGTTAATGAGCCACGTTAGATTCACTCAGTTAAAGGGGAAACACGGGAAGTCTGTGTTTCCCCTGATCCATAATAAATGCTTCTATAGGGTCTGTATCGTAATGTGTACGCCTGTAGTTCATGGTGTCAAGACTTCAGTATTGGTCATACTTATATACACTAGCATCACGCGCTGCTATGCTGGTTCGATGCTGCCAGTTGTTTTATTCAACAGTCAACCATTACTAGTAGCCTAGCAGTTATTGAGTTGAATCAGTTAATCAATATAAAGATCAGTTAGGTAGTTTAGTTGGTAAATTGATTAAAAAAAAAGCATGTTAATTAGTTTAATGAGTCAGGTAATCGATAAACACGATCAGTTATAACTCGATGCAGAGCGGGCGTCCGTTCAGGCGCGCTGCATGCTGGGAAACGTAGTTCCAATAGCGGCGACATTCTAAACCAGGTAAGCCTCCGCGACCAATCACAGCAGCTTAGTCGTCGCCGCAGCCAGTCACTGCACTTAAACTAACTCACTGACCAATCACAGCGCTTAACACCCCCAATAACTAATCATAGCTCCGCAAACACCGCGCAGCCAATCACAGCGCCACACACTCTCCGAGCAGCCAACCCGATCACAACAACATCCATGATGCTGCTCTCCACCGCGCCTGCGCACACGGTAGACAGCTGATAACTCATCCATTATGCTACTTCGCTAAATAATTAAAAAAAAGCTTCCAGAAAAACTGACCGGAGCTTCGCTGGTGGACCGGAGGACCGAGTCCCGACGTGAGTGACAGTACCGGCGCGGGTGTGTGTGTGTGTGTGTGAGTGTGAGTGTGAGTGTGAGTGTGTTGTTGTGTGTGTTAGTGTGTGAGAGAGGATCCTCCGCGCCTCCAGACAAAGCTCAGCTAACAGGCTAACGGCTCTTTAGCTACACAAACACCCACATAACCGGTCCTTCCCACGGCCCGCTCCCGGCTGTCGGTACCGGCGGTGCCTGCTCACCGACCCCCGGTCACCCCGACCCCCGGTCCCCCGGGTATCACACACCGCCACGGCCGATATCTATTATATTAACGCGGGCTAGTGATCGGTGAGTAGCTCGGCTAGCTTAGCCACCTAGCTTGTGTTCTGCCCGCCATCTTTCTAACGATAAACGGGCTTCTGCGCGAGGCTGAACAACACGCTCAGTTAGTGCTAGCGGGGGGCAGTTAGCGCGCGGGTTCACCTGAGATCCAGGTGATAATAGCCTGCCAGGTGTGTGGGGGGGTGGATGGGCTCTCTGGAGGGGGTTTGTGCAGTTTATGGATCGGCCGTGGCTGTTAGCTGCTAGCTGTTAGCTGTTAGCCGCTAACCCGCAGCAGCCGGGGGAGAGAGGGGGGGGGGGGGGGTACTCACATATTGTACTAGACTACAAGTACACAGATATTGCATTTAAGTACAACTACTCAGATCTGGTATTTGAGTAAAAATAGAAGTACTGAGATCTTGTACTTGAGTAAAAGTAGAAGTACTCAGATCTTGTACTTGAGTAAAAGTAGAAGTACTCAGATCTTGTACTTTAGTAAAAGTAGAAGTACTCATATATTGTACTTGAGTAAAAGTAGAAGTAATTTGGTCTGAAAATACTAAAGGTAACAGTCCTGGATTCCAAATATTACTTGAGTATAGAAGTATTTTCAGCTAAATGTATTTCCAGTTTCTAAAGTAACCATTATGCAGCGTGGCTGTTCAGGAAGTACTTTATTATAGAATACAAAATGAAGCCTTCTTTTAACTGCTCAGAAGTACATGTACACATATTGGCAGTATTGTACTGCATTATATCATAAAGATGTGTCTTGTATGTAAACAGAAGTTGGTAAAAGTGTCACAAAACACAAGGGGGCAGAAGTATGATAGTAGTGCATGGAAATACTCAAGTGAAGTACATGGTTACTTCCCACCACAGGTAGCAGGAGTGAGACTGGTGTCTCCTCAGTGTACCTGTCCACAGGTAGCAGGAGTGAGACAGGTGTCTCCTCAGAGTGTACCTGTCCACAGGTAGCAGGAGTGAGACTGGTGTCTCCTCAGTGTACCTGTCCACAGGTAGCAGGAGTGAGACTGGTGTCTTCTCAGTGTACCTGTCCACAGGTAGCAGGAGTGAGACAGGTGTCTTCTCAGTGTAGCTGTCCACAGGTAGCAGGAGTGAGACTGGTGTCTCCTCAGTGTACCTGTCCACAGGTAGCAGGAGTGAGACTGGTGTCTCCTCAGAGTGTACCTGTCCACAGGTAGCAGGAGTGAGACAGGTGTCTCCTCAGAGTGTACCTGTCCACAGGTAGCAGGAGTGAGACAGGTGTCTCCTCAGAGTGTACCTGTCCACAGGTAGCAGGAGTGAGACTGGTGTCTCCTCAGTGTACCTGTCCACAGGTAGCAGGAGTGAGACAGGTGTCTTCTCAGTGTAGCTGTCCACAGGTAGCAGGAGTGAGACTGGTGTCTCCTCAGAGTGTACCTGTCCACAGGTAGCAGGAGTGAGACAGGTGTCTCCTCAGAGTGTACCTGTCCACAGGTAGCAGGAGTGAGACAGGTGTCTTCTCAGTGTAGCTGTCCACAGGTAGCAGGAGTGAGACTGGTGTCTCCTCAGAGTGTACCTGTCCACAGGTAGCAGGAGTGAGACAGGTGTCTTCTCAGTGTACCTGTCCACAGGTAGCAGGAGTGAGACAGGTGTCTTCTCAGTGTAGCTGTCCACAGGTAGCAGGAGTGAGACAGGTTTCTTCTCAGTGTAGCTGTCCACAGGTAGCAGGAGTGAGACTGGTGTCTCCTCAGTGTACCTGTCCACAGGTAGCAGGAGTGAGACAGGTGTCTTCTCAGTGTAGCTGTCCACAGGTAGCAGGAGTGAGACAGGTGTCTCCTCAGAGTGTACCTGTCCACAGGTAGCAGGAGTGAGACAGGTGTCTTCTCAGAGTGTACCGATATTGAAAAAAACTGACATTGCGATATTTTTTCCCCCTGCGATATATATTGCGATGTGAAGAAATACAGGAATTGAAGAAAATATTTTTTTTATCCGCAAACCACCCTTTCTTGAACTTTAGTGCTATACAATTGGTATTTTTGACCGGATGAAGGATTTTAGTCACGTACTTCTGGATCTTAAGCTATCAGAGCAACAAGCTGAGCTAGCTCGGTTATCCTGCTGTGATCTGATCAAGAATGGTTGTGATTGGTGGTTTGCTGTGCATGCAGAGCCTGCATGTCACTCACTCAAGTACCCCTGAGAGCTGTGCGAGTTTTCCTTTTGTAGCAAGCAGCAAAAATAATTGTAACATGACGTGTTTGAGTTCATTTGTCTACTTAATATCGCACGTCCTAAAAATATTAAATAAAATCGCATGTCCTGCGATGTCAAAATCCCACATGCGCATTACGCGATTATCGTCACGACACGATGTATCGTGCAGCCTTACTCCTCGGTGTGTACCTGTCCACAGGTAGCAGGAGTGAGACTGGTGTCTCCTCAGAGTGTAGCTGTCCACAGGTAGCAGGAGTGAGACTGGTGTCTCCTCAGAGTGTACCTGTCCACAGGTAGCAGGAGTGAGACTGGTGTCTCCTCAGAGTGTAGCTGTCCACAGGTAGCAGGAGTGAGACTGGTGTCTCCTCAGAGTGTACCTGTCCACAGGTAGCAGGAGTGAGACTGGTGTCTCCTCAGAGTGTATCTGTCCACAGGTAGCAGGAGTGAGACTGGTGTCTCCTCAGAGTGTAGCTGTCCACAGGTAGCAGGAGTGAGACTGGTGGTCTCCTCGGTGTGTACCTGTCCACAGGTAGCAGGAGTGAGACTGGTGTCTCCTCAGAGTGTAGCTGTCCACAGGTAGCAGGAGTGAGACTGGTGTCTCCTCAGAGTGTAGCTGTCCACAGGTAGCAGGAGTGAGACTGGTGTCTCCTCAGAGTGTAGCTGTCCACAGGTAGCAGGAGTGAGACTGGTGTCTCCTCAGAGTGTACCTGTCCACAGGTAGCAGGAGTGAGACTGGTGTCTCCTCAGAGTGTAGCTGTCCACAGGTAGCAGGAGTGAGACAGGTGTCTCCTCAGTGTGTACCTGTCCACAGGTAGCAGGAGTGAGACTGGTGTCTCCTCAGAGTGTACCTGTCCACAGGTAGCAGGAGTGAGACTGGTGTCTCCTCAGAGTGTACCTGTCCACAGGTAGCAGGAGTGAGACTGGTGTCTCCTCAGTGTACCTGTCCACAGGTAGCAGGAGTGAGACTGGTGTCTCCTCAGAGTGTACCTGTCCACAGGTAGCAGGAGTGAGACTGGTGTCTCCTCAGAGTGTACCTGTCCACAGGTAGCAGAGTGAGACTGGTGTCTCCTCAGAGTGTACCTGTCCACAGGTAGCAGGAGTGAGACTGGTGTCTCCTCAGAGTGTACCTGTCCACAGGTAGCAGGAGTGAGACTGGTGTCTCCTCAGAGTGTACCCTGTCCACAGGTAGCAGGAGTGAGACTGGTGTCTCCTCAGAGTGTACCTGTCCACAGGTAGCAGGAGTGAGACTGGTGTCTCCTCAGAGTGTAGCTGTCCACAGGTAGCAGGAGTGAGACTGGTGTCTCCTCAGAGTGTAGCTGTCCACAGGTAGCAGGAGTGAGACTGGTGTCTCCTCAGAGTGTAGCTGTCCACAGGTAGCAGGAGTGAGACTGGTGTCTCCTCAGAGTGTAGCTGTCCACAGGTAGCAGGAGTGAGACTGGTGTCTCCTCAGAGTGTACCTGTCCACAGGTAGCAGGAGTGAGACTGGTGTCTCCTCAGAGTGTAGCTGTCCACAGGTAGCAGGAGTGAGACTGGTGTCTCCTCAGAGTGTACCTGTCCACAGGTAGCAGGAGTGAGACTGGTGTCTCCTCAGAGTGTACCTGTCCACAGGTAGCAGGAGTGAGACTGGTGTCTCCTCAGTGTACCTGTCCACAGGTAGCAGGAGTGAGAGTGGTGTCTCCTCAGAGTGCACCTGTCCACAGGTAGCAGGAGTGAGACTGGTGTCTCCTCAGAGTGTACCTGTCCACAGGTAGCAGGAGTGAGACTGGTGTCTCCTCAGAGTGTACCTGTCCACAGGTAGCAGGAGTGAGACTGGTGTCTCCTCAGAGTGTACCTGTCCACAGGTAGCAGGAGTGAGACTGGTGTCTCCTCAGAGTGTAGCTGTCCACAGGTAGCAGGAGTGAGACTGGTGTCTCCCTCAGAGTGTACCTGTCCACAGGTAGCAGGAGTGAGACTGGTGTCTCCTCAGAGTGTACCTGTCCACAGGTAGCAGGAGTGAGACTGGTGTCTCCTCAGAGGTGTAGCCTGTCCACAGGTAGCAGGAGTGAGACTGGAGTCTCCTCAGAGTGTACCTGTCCACAGGTAGCAGGAGTGAGACTGGAGTCTCCTCAGAGTGTACCTGTCCACAGGTAGCAGGAGTGAGACTGGAGTCTCCCTCAGAGTGTAGCTGTCCACAGGTAGCAGGAGTGAGACTGGTGTCTCCTCAGAGTGTAGCTTGTCCACAGGTAGCAGGAGTGAGACTGGTGTCTCCTCAGTGTGTACCTGTCCACAGGTAGCAGGAGTGAGACTGGTGTCTCCTCAGTGTGTACCTGTCCACAGGTAGCAGGAGTGAGACTGGTGTCTCCTCAGAGTGTACCTGTCCACAGGTAGCAGGAGTGAGACTGGTGTCTCCTCAGAGTGTACCTGTCCACAGGTAGCAGGAGTGAGACTGGTGTCTCCTCAGAGTGTACCTGTCCACAGGTAGCAGGAGTGAGACTGGTGTCTCCTCAGAGTGTAGCTGTCCACAGGTTAGCAGGAG